CTTGAGGACTGGAACAATGGTGTATTCAGGAGCTAGAAAGAGAAAAAGCGAAGAGAAATTGAATGCAAAAGTGAAAAATGAAGAAATGGGGAAAAGTTTTGTCAAAAATTAGAAAAGGCGGAAAAACGGAGCATTGAATGTGCCTAGAACAACGCATACGTCAGACGACGCACACAGACGCAAAACGGCTTGCAAGCGCGTCATAGGCACGATCTAATGAGGTGAAGACGCGCGAATGAAACGGTTGAGTAAATGATGCGTGACAGCTTACACACGTGAAAGAGTTCACTGGAATTCTTGTTCTCTGGAGAGAACATGTCGGCCTGAAATGAATGATCTCGGCTGAGGAGTTCTTGAGTCGATGTACAGGAAGAAATACCGATATAGGTTCCATCACCTCAAGATACCGAGGTAATAGAACCTAGGGGCAGTTGTAGGGATATATTTTTTGAGTACCAACACGTGGCAAGGTGATGCCGACGTGTCAGCCGAGGTACCACGTGTCCTGGTCGTTGTGCCGAGGTAATCTCGGTTAGGCCGAGGTTTGCTCCGAAGATATCGGAATCCGAGATAAGCGAATAAGGGACAAGAGTCCAAGAATGAAGAGGAGACTTAGTCAAGATGAAGATAAAGCTCTTAGGGAGTTTATCTTTATCTCTTAAAGAGTCCAAGGTAAGCCCAGAATTGGAGTCTCTAGAAGTCAGGCTTCTAGTGGGACTAGGATTGAGTTAACTATAAAAAGAGAGGCATCCCCGTGGGTCTAAGGTACGCAATTTATGTTTTGAGCAGTAAGTTTAGCACTCGATTATCTTTGAGAGATATACTGACTTGATCGTCGGAGTGTCCCGGGTGGAAGAACCACCGCCGGAGCCTTCTCTTTCTGTTATAGGTTAGTTGAGCCATCTATTCTGCCGGTGTTCTCTAGCTGATTACTAAACGGGCAGTGTGATCAGAAAATCACTCACACAATATATATATTTTTTTATTGATGGTAGCCTGTCAATTATAATCAAATTCAACTTTATTGATTGTAACTGTGGATTATGATCTATCAATTGCGACCATATACTATCTTTAAAGATTTATTATGGCGATATTATTATTATTATTATATTGTTATTGTTGTAATGCTTAGTGCAGGAGGCAAGGACGGTATCAAGTGGTTTAAGGAAGTTATGAAAATGTGGCAACGTGGCTTTAAAGGAAGAAATTGTCTAGAGCAGTTTTTGCATTTTTTAAGAACTATTTTGGTGGCATCTCATCAATTTAATAAAAAAATAAAGAATAATAAATACAATAAGAAATTAATATTTAATAAGATTGAGTTAGAATAGAGAGTTTGATGCAGCGAGTACTAAAAAAGTGACTAGCTAAAATAACAAAAGTGAATTTTAAGTTATAATTTGACTCAAAATTTATTGAGATTGATGCGAATGCTCATACAGATATCTAATTGACTTGATTTTTTTCTATGGATGGTCTAATTGATGAACTTTACAATTACAATATGAACGGTTCACATTATCAAAATAAATTCGAAAAATGCCCCCACAGGCTCATAATACGGTGCTATTCCTTAGAGGCACAACATCCTCCCAGGTTCCCTAGTCTAGAGGGTGTTGTATGAGTTTGTGGGGCCTATTATGAGTCTTATTTTTGTAATTTGAATAGTTCATTTTGTAAGATCATTTTGTGTATATCAATCATAAAAATAAAAAAAAATAAGAAATTGATAATCACTACATGTTTAATTATTGCATTCGTCACAAAAAATAAAAAAATAAAAAAAATATGAATGGTTGGTTTGGAAAAATGCACTTTTAATCATTTTTTTTGAGACATATAGTAAATTGAATAGATTACGATTATTGAATTGATCTAATTTTTATATTAATAAATATATATATATTTTTATTGATGGTAGCTTGTCAATTATAATCAAATTCAACTTTATTGATTGTAACTGTGGATTATAATCTATTAATTGCGACCATATACTATCTTTAAAGATTTATTATGGCGATATTATTACTAATATTACTAATATTATTATTATTATATTGTTATTGTTGTTATGCTTTGTGCAGGAGGCGAGGAAGGTATCAAGTGGTTTAAGGAAGTTATGAAAATGTGGCAACGTGGCTTTAGAGGAAGAAATTGTCTAGAGCAGTTGTTGAAGGAAATCATGGGTGAAGCTTATAAATAGGCAAAGAAGAGATGATCAAAAGGTATCGACAAAAATAATCAAATACTTCAGAAATTTCTTTCTATCTTCAGATGTAGTTTACCTTAATTTGTAGGAATAGTTTATTTTAAATTAGGAGTAGCTTTATCATTGTAATTTAATAGTTTATAACCTTGTAAATTTGGAAGATTTCAATAGAATTTTTTTCTGTATTTACTTTACTCTTTCGATTGTTAATTGTTGTAAAAAAGTACTTATACTTTCAAGACAGTAGAACCTTTACATAGTCGTTTAATTTTTTGTTCAACTATTTGATTAAAATTGTTATTAGGTCTCAGTTAATAAGGTTTTAACATAATTTTTCTAACAATTCTATAAAATAAACAATTTAAATTATCAAGACGAGACCCATGATAAATTTCACAAGCCCAAACAACACCTTACAGTTCAAATTTTGGACAGAAAGGAAACAGAGCACTTTTCAAAATTTTTGCTTTTTGCATTTTTAGTTGGGAGATAGGATATGGAATATTTCATTGCTTCTTTTGTTGGGTAGATTTTAGAGGTAGTTAACAATTTTGTTAGGCAGTTACACACCATTACAAATTTACATATTAGCAGCATGGGATCTTATCAAATTCAATCCCAAGTCCATTCGGCTTGGGGGAGTCGTGCAGGGATCTGCCTCCTCTTTGAGTTTGTTTGTTTTTATTCATAAATAAATTATACTGAAAAGTTTAAAAAATATAAAATAAATATTATAAATTTTAATATGTATACGCATAATGAGACTAAGGCTAAGTTTGGGTAGTCCCAAAAAAGCCAAAAAGTCAAAAAGTTACTCAAAAAGTTAAAAAGTTAACACTATTCACCAAAAGTCAACAATTACGTATTCATCAAAAGTCAACAATTACGGCTGCACAACTCTCAATTCAAATTTTTCCCTACAAATCAATTTTTACAATTTTTTATTACACATTTTTCAATAAAAAGTCAAAAAGTTAACCCAAATATCCATATTTTCAACCTCAATTTTTTAGTCCAAAAAGACAAAAAGTGCACTTATTTAGTCTTCCCAAACTTGGCCTAAATATAATGTGAATTAAAACTTTAAACTTGTGTTTGGATCAATGATTTGTAAGAATAAAGGAAAAATCGAGGGCAAAAGAACAAAAATTTTAAAATTTATTTTCTTTTTTCTTCATTTTCTCTTTTCCTCCACAATCTCCCTCTCAAATACTTGAACAAAAAACAGTTCAAGGAAACTCAATGCAATACCAAACTTTTAGGATTCAATGTATTTTTTTCAAACTCAAGAAAGGTTAATGCTTGGTAATTTTTTTTTAAAATGCAATGTCCCTCCATTAACCTTAAATATCTTTGTAAAAATACAAAAAGGTATGAAAATCTATATATAAAAACGTAAAATATTGTTTTAAAATATGTAAAAAGTACATTGAGATTTTAATTATTTTGACATTATCACCACATTAATAATGACAACCCATAACATAATCTTTAGAAGAAAGCATCTAAAACCTATAGCCCCGTTTGGCAGCCAACTTTTGGTTAAAAAAAATCATAAAAAAGTGAAAATGTCACATTATACACATCAATGAAATTTATACGTCTGAAATTGCTAAAGGCGGTTTCAAAAGATTACTTTCGCAAAAATGTTGTTTTGCTATTTTGATTGACTGAAAAATCAATCTATTCATTTTTTTTTATATATAAAAATTTCATATTCAATATTGATCTTGTTTAAAATATCTCAAAAAAAAATAAATTTACAAATATCAATTTTATTAAAAATAAATTTGTAAAATTGAAGTTATGAGAGCTAACAACTGCCGCCCTCTCATTGCCTCTGCAACTCCCTGCCATTCTTTCCAGCAAAAATCAATGGTTAATTGAAGCTAAAAAACAAAGCACATAACAAAACAACCCATAAATACCTTCCCCTTGACATTGGCCAGTGAGTTTTGTGTCATAATGGTCTTGATGTTGGTGGGATTTTGACCCTGTTAGTTCAGTGATAAGAAGCTTATCCACCGCGCTCGACGCTTGAATTCAAGTCTCTCCCATAATGGACTGTTAGGACTAAACCTACTTCTTAATGTTCAAAGTACGCTAAAACCTTAACTTCAACCCTGACGTAAATGTAGTGTTGGTTTCGACAGAAGTTTGTAAGTACTAAGGGACAATACTCCCTGACAAATGCGTAGTCTATAAGCACATTCATTTTATGTACCTAAAAAAAAAAAAAAAGATAGGGATTTTGTAGAAGTGATGTTGGAGAGGGATGACGACGAAAACGAAGAAGAGACCTAGAGTGGCTATGGAGGTTTGTGTCTGTTGGGAGGTGGGAGGGGGGGTGGAGGTCGCGGTGGCCAGTGATGGAGGTCATGGTGATCGGTGGTTTTGAGCTGGAGACAACGGATTGGGATAGAAGAAGCCATGGTATGTAAGAAGTGAGACGGACGGGAATGGAGCTGATCTGATATGAAACCTGTACGCAGGAAGATGTAAAAGTTTTACATTAATTCACAAAGCAATTGATGTGGCGTTTTTGGATTGGGTATCCGTAAACATTTGGGTAGGACGTCGTCCGAAAAAACATTCGATGCAAAAGGCAATTCATTTTTCTATTAACTACAAACATTTTTTTTACCATATGAAACATAAAAAATAAATAAATAAAAACTCAAAACTCAAAACTCAAAACTCAAAACTCAAAACTTTACAATGTTAGAAGTCACAGTTCCTTTATTTTTATATATTATTTAGGACCAAACTTGGTGAATGATGTGCGTGGTTGATCATTGAATAGGTATTGACATTCCATTGTGTGTTTCAAAAGATTTACTTGAATAAGAAAGACAATCAATCAGCTTACAACTTTACCATGAACGAGTGAACCCTCCTAAATGACATGGTTCCCAAACACAACAACAGTTCATCAATAACATATTGTTGTCTGCCATGACAAACCTCTTTTCCCCTATCTATACATGACGCCTTAACCTGGTGCCTAATCTTTGGGTTTTTAGCTCAACAATGACACACAACAAAAAATTGTACAAAATTCAAATTAGGATTGCTGCAGAATCATTGGCTATATTGCTAAAAGTGTATCTTGGCTCCATTGAATCACGACATAAAGGAGACAGCATCACTCCGCAACCTGTGGCAACAGCTTTTAAAGTATGTAACTCACAATTCTGAAGGCTGGAGGCTTTTTTTATTTAAACTTTAATTAGAACAAAATGTACAGCTCAATTCTCCAAATAAACTGTACAGGGTCTACCCAAAATATTAACCTTGAATTGAAGCAAACAAGACAGGCAAAGAAGCTTTGAGCTAATGCAGTTACCTGTATTGCGCCAAACGTGTGGCAGCAACTGCCCTCCAAATGGATTTTTTGACCGACCACCACAACAATGTATAAGAGAAAAAGTTGCATAACTGAGCCAAAAGGCAAATGCTCATGAGATTGTGGACAGGTGATTTAATGGAAAACGTGGGTATCAGGAAAAAGGGATAGATAGAAACCTGTAAAACCTATTTTGAGACCAAAACTGTCGACTTGAGGAAAGCTAAACGGTTTTCAGTAAGAGTTAATTTCTCTTTTGCTTCTACCGCTTTTTCTTGAACACCACGTACAATTTCCTCTGGAGCTTTCTCTACAAACTGTGGACAGCAAAAAAAGAGATTGTGAGAGGCCAAGATTGGGGAAGTAGGTACTGCAAACAAGAAAGGGAAAGAAACCAATCATTTAATAGTCAGCCAGTCCTTTTGCTAATGAACTGACAACATACAAATAAGGAAACGGCAGTGTTTATCTTATGCACAACAGCGTATAAGTTGGAAAAACGATTTACGTTTCAGTTCCATAATTCTCTTGCACTTTTGGATGCATCAATAAAAGGAGGATTCTATGAGAATAAATTTATTTAGATTTCATACTTCAGGAGAACTCAGGCGAGCAACAAGTCCATCATACTCTGCTTGCATCTTTGAAAGGCGCTTGGTAAGGCGCTGGACTTCGGCTGAGACATCTACCATATCAGCAAGAGGAAGATATGCCTCTAGACCCTCATCAGCAACCAGATGGACAGATTGATTTGCATCATCTGAAGCATTGTTGGGATGTTACATGCATCACATGGTAATAGTTCGACATCTCATAGAAATAAATCAATTAATGAATGAAAAACAAGCATGGAGGAGAACACACACAACATAGTTCACCAGAGTTTTGCCAATAGAGATGTAATTTTTAGGTAAACTTACCTGGTGGAGTATCTGTAAAATGGACATTTTGCAAATCTAGCCTGGAGAGAAGAGCTAAAACTTCCTTTTCTTTCTGCATCAAGCAAATTACATGATTGAGATCTAGTCAGAGAGATGCATAGCAGGCACAGGTATGTTTCTTTAAATGGCGCCAGATTACCAAGTGCAAAGCTATCAGATTTCTCTAGGCAGTCATACAAATGTAACTACTTGCATCAGGGTGCTAGTTATAGAGAGGGCTAACCCCCATTATGTACTACATCCTTACACCAAAGACAGACTAGAAAATATAAGCTATTCACTACCAGAATTTCCAGCACCCAAATTTCTTGTATCACCCTCGCTTTTTACATCTCCAACTTTTGATTTTTCCTTATTCGACCTCTTCAAATCTCCCTTCAATTTCTAAGCAAAAATTATGCAACAATTATCTTGCTTGTTTGCTTCTCCACCACTGCCCACCCTCTCTCTTCTTAAACCCCTCCATAAAAAACCACATATCTCAAAATGGAGTGGGAGTTGTCCCTCTTCTCAAAATGGAGCAAATGGTCTAACACTGGCCATGGTAAAGAAAAAGCCACGACCTCAGAAAAATGCTCTTCCTTATCCAGGGAAACCAAAAACCTGTCAGCCCCCAACATAGACAGAGGCCCCTGATGTTCACATCAACGGGAGGTCCATCAACTCAAGATCATTAATGAAGTTTAAAAGCTCCACCATGCCCTGCTATGAGAAGTACATCCCAAACTCTCTGAAGGGACATGAAAACATTGAAATCTCCCCCACCCCACCAAAGCGAATTCCATACAAAGGCCATCAACTTCTTCTGTAATTCTCACCTCACCCTATCATCCACCAGACCATATACCCTTAAAAAGACCCATCAAAAGCCATCCTCTACACATTTGACCAAGCATCATGCTCAGAAAATACCCACATGACTCACTCCTCTAATTCGACACTCCTCTTATCACACAAGAATCAACTACACTCTTCCTTTGCTCTCCTCTCTTATCCTCCAATAAATAAATAAATACAACAAAATAAAAACAAAAACATTCTGTCTCCTCTTCTCCCCCATCTTCCAAGAAATATATAAATAAAATAAAAATGAAAAACCATCCTTAACAATCTCATCCAACAAGAGTTTTAAGTAGCCGGATTATTTTTAAAGGGATTGGATATGACTGAAATTATTGATAAGATTATAGAGGATAAGTAACATCCTGGAAATTGTAGGATAAATGCTTGGATATGTGATAGGATTATAGATAATATTACAGATATAAGTTATACCATGGGATAAAGGATTAGATAGAGTGTATATTATTTGTACTATGGTTAGGATGGAATAAATTATGGAAAAGAAGATATAATTATTTTTGACCGTTGGATGGAGGAAAATAATTCTCATACCCACCCACCTACCACCATTTAATTCTCATAACAATATTAAATTGACCTGGAGTTCTTATGCTGTGCACACCAAACAACGGAGTAAAAAACATGTAGGGCATGGCTAATCTCCCCACCCTTTATCCCCAATTTAATGCCACAGTCAAACATGCACTTCTTGTTCTGCAATTAATTAATCCAATAAACCACAACTAGAAAAAGAAGTGGATACTTACAGAAATATACTGTCTCACTTCAGAATTTGCAACTATAGATGCGGAAATACGCTTAACTGGCTTAACAGAATATTCTGCTCGAGCATTGCGAATTGCTCTTGTCTGAGTGTCGCAAAAAGAAATAATCAATGATCAGTAAACTCATGAAAGATGTTTCCACAAGGGCAGTGTGACAATGGAGGTGTTGAGGGAAAAGTAAAAACAAATTTGTTGAACTCACCAGAGCTTGTAAGTTCTCAAATCTTTTTATTGAGTTGGCATGACTCGGAAGTGAAGTCTGTGGCCAACATGATACTACAAGAGCTTCTTTCCTATTTGGGAGTGCCTGTAGATGATCAAAGCCTTCATGAAATCACAAAAAAAATAAAAAATAAAAAATAAAAACTTATTTCCAAAGAAGAAAAAGAAAAAACAAACTACATCAGGAATGAAAATTCCAAGGGGCACCACTGAGAAAGTGAGAAGTATCATTAGAAGCCAACCAAAACTCTCAATGGCAGAAAGTGACACAAAAAAAATCAGTAGGAAAACCCAAGAAAAAGTCTTGTGCAACAAGGGCCACACAACAGGTTTTGGCTCCATAATTCTCTGTCTTTTTCCTTCTTACCTTTCCTTTTCTGATGAATTCTTTAACAAGCAGTAGTGAGATTTGTGCATTAAGCTAGTGTATAGAATACATCAAAAGTAGCAGCAGTAAAACAAATCGCTACTGCAACCCATCAACGTATTTTTGAGTGATCTATAACATAATTATTTCTTTATGTAAGAAGCAACAAATGAGCCTCTGAATTCTAGCAGGGACTAGGGAGTAACAAAAGGCAACCATGTCGATATGGGAGCTATTCACTGGTATTTCAAACTCCCATCCATCTAAATCCCAGTAATTCTGTCATAATAAGCTACAGACCACAAGTAGACCTAGTACAATGGCATCATACCAGTGTTATTTTATTGAGGTATATACAAATCGACTTTCAACAAAGGTTCCTGTTTGCACCCATTTTTGTAAAGTTCCTGTTGACAGGTGGATCACTCAGATGGTGACACGTGGTAAAGTCAAACTGAAGGTTTTCCATCATTCAGAGGGACGGATGGTATGGAAAAGGGGGATTGTGTGCATAAAGTGGCAGAAGCAACCTTGAAGCAGTTACCAGCTGTTTTTGTGGTTTAGTGGGCTAGTTGCAAAGGATGATATCTATCAATGTGATTCTCAGGGTAATGAAGGACACGTGGTAGCATGGTGGAGAGTGAGATCAACAGGAAGGTTGAGGATTTGGCAGAGTTTGAAGGTTGGAAAGCAAGGAGGCAGTTACAATGGCAGTTATGAAGGTTGCAATTACAAGCTAGGAAGGATCATGCAAACATGGGCCAAAAAAAGCGGGAGAAGAGATAAAAGCCAGGATTTTGCCAAGAGAGGGGATCATCAACAACACAACAACACTTAGCTTTTAGACTTAGGAGTAGTTTTCTCTTAACTTAGGAGTAGTTTGTTCTGTAATTTGTAACTTGTGACTCTTGTAAACTTAGATAATTTCTTCTGGAATTGTTTTTGTTTATTTTGTTACTTTTCTTTCGATTGTAAATTGTTCCAAAGAAGTCCTTGTACTTTCAAGGCATTATAACCTTTACACAGTCGTCTGATTGTCTGTTTAATTGTTTGTTTAAATTATTGCTTGGTTGTTGTTGATCAAGGCCTAGCATAATGTCACTGTAGAAAAATTTAATGTATAAAGAGAAATAGAGAATTGTATAGATATTGATTGTATTATTGATAGATATATTGAATGTTACAATGATTCCTATATATAGAAGAGTAGATGGTAGTAGGTGGTAGATGGAGTAGGTAAAGTGGAGGTGGTAGTGGTGTAGTGGGTTAGGTTTAGTGGAGTAGGTGAGGTGGTAGTGGTGTAGTGGGTTAGGCTTAGTGGGTGAAGTAGGTGATAGGTTTTAACAGTCACTAACAATTTTTGGCACGCCTGGTGGGACATCTTCCTAATTTCAAATGATGACAAGAGTTCGAAGGCAAGATGAAGTACAAGAAGACCCGAAACATGGCATGAAAACATCTCGTAAAACAAAATCACATGATGTTTCGCAAAAAATAGATGAAATAATTTGGTTTTGTGAAGATAAAATGTGTTGGTGTGAGAATGAAATTTTATATTTACAACAAAAAATCAATTATCTTTGATTGGCAAAAATTCAAACAATAGCGCCATTGTCATATTATTTGAGGTTAGAAACAAACAAACGTGTTGGCGTGAGAATGAAATTTTATATTTTCAAGAAAAAATTGATTATCTTGATCGGCAAAAATTTCAAACAATAGCGCCATTGTCATATTATTCGAGATTAGAAACATGAAATCATTTTGATAAAGTGAATGGTCAACTTGATGATCATATTGACCATTTTGAGATCAAAATTTATCAATGGAGGGAAACGTTGAAAATTCTTACAGAAGCCAAAATTTGTGGCTTTTCAGCTGTTCTTCCTACGCCTTTGAAGGTTGTGAATGATGAAAAAGTTGATTCATCAGTTGTTATGGGTGAAGAAACAGAAGGCCATGAGAATAGAAATTCTATGGCAAGGGGACAATTTCACAAGGAAGAAATATTTTCTGGGTTGTCAAAACATATTTCTAGCCCATTGGTGCGTGAAAGGAAAAATCAATCATTTTTTGCAAATGTTAGTCCAAAGAGTGATGCAAACAATGTGATTAAAAAATTCGATTTCAAGCCAACTATGGCTAAAAATGATGAACAACCAATTCGTGATGAATTTAATATTTTTGACATTGTTCAAAATGTTGAATTTTTTGGAAATTTTGAGCCATGCAAAACTATGGATTGTGGCATTCAACACCCATTTTGGGTTTGTGAATCACACCAAAACTTAATTTTGGAGAATTGGCTAAAGATCCAACATTGTTTGGATAATATAAGACCAAAGAATATAGTTGTTATTGGTGAAAAGTAGTTTATACATGTCTCACAACATATGTATGTTTGGTGAAAAGATCAAGGCCAAATCAATTTTATATACAACTCTTCAAGAATTCGAGATTTCTCATTCTTAAAGAGCAACTCTTCAAGAATTCGAGATTTCTTATTCTTAAAAAGTTGGAGGGTCATTGTTTTTCACCATAAATATTTTTCTGTCGATTGTGGCCAAATCTAATTTTATTGATTGTGGCCTGTTGATCATGGCCAAATCTAATCTCATTGATTGTGGCCAGTCGATTTAGACCATAAATTATTTTTAATATAAAGTTATGGCCACATATTCATATTTATATTATTATTATTATTATTACTACTAGTAGTGTTCGTGAGCTTGGGCAGGAGGTAAATAGCAACATGAGTCATGGCATATCATGGCGCAATTGGAAGAACGTGGGACTTGGAAAGTGGAGGCAACGACACATGGCAAAAATAAGTTTCTTGCAAGTTAATTACCCACTTTATAAAGCATCAAAGGGTGGCACCACATCCAACAAAAGTTGAGGAACCACCACCTTTTTTTACATGGCAATCGTGGCAATGTGCATGAGGAGAACAAAAACTGCTCTAGGCAGTTCATTGAAACCGTCAGTGGAGCCTATAAATAGGCAAAGAGGAGATGAACAGGACATCATCAATATCACAACAACACTTAGCTTTTAGACTTAGGCATAGTTTGTTCTGTAATTTGTAACTTCTGACTCTTGTAAACTTAGATAATTTCGTCTGGAATTGTCTTTGTTTATTTGGTTACTTTTCTTTCAATTGTTAATTGTTCCAAAGAAGTCCGTGTACTTTCAAGACATTAGAACCTTTACACAGTCGTCTGATTCTCTATTTAATTGTTTGTTTAAATTATTGCTTGGTTGTTGTTGATCAAGGCCTACATAATTTTCACTAACACTTCCCAAAAATATCCAAATAGTAGACCAAATAAGAAGCGCTACTAAATATTCAATATTTGAAGCAAGAATCAACAAATTACCTGCCACAGTTCTTCAGTTACAAATGGCATGAATGGATGTAGCATTATCAGAATATTTTCAAAAACATATAAAAGAACTGCCTGTGATATTGAAGCAATTGATTGACCATCTGAGTGGTACAGGCGAGCTTTACTGGATTCAATATACCTAAGAACAATTGGAAAATGTTAATCATCGCTTAAAAAAGGGAAAAAAGAAGAAGATAATGGAAACAGATCGTGAAGTGCATCTGTATGGGGAACAGCAAGACAAAAGGAAAGATGTCATCCTGCAACGAAATATTATAAACCCATATATACATCATCCTATGTTCTTTCTCAACTCCAATTTCTTTTTTTCTTTTTTTTTTTGGAGGGGGGGGGAGAGAAAATTTCATTTTACCCTCTTGTGATTTGGCTCATATGCAAATGACCATTATTTGGAAATAAGTCCATTATGCATTTGTTGTTTTATGAATGCAGGAGTACATGCATAATATCAATTACATGTATTGTTTTTCAGTGAAAACTGCCGAAACAGTAAAGTAATATACCAATCAGCAAAATCAGCCCAGAAGAAATCATATATTTCTCTTCCAACATCTCCAAAGAAGTACTTTTCGTAACTGGTGGTGACTGTGTCAACGAGTATGTGAAGTTTTGAGACCTAAATATTGAACAAACTGTTTAGTTAATCATAGAGGAGCATGGGTTTGCACAGCAGACAATACATCACAAGTATTCTCTTACCACCCAACACTCTGGTAAAGGTAGCCTAAGAAGAGATTCCTCGAGATGAAACTGAAAAAAGATTTAACTGTATCAGTATAAACTTAGAACAATGCTCTACCCTCTCTAACCTAGTGCAACAAAGAGAGAAGGAAATAGAAACTCCTATACCAACCTGGTGAAGTAATGGATATTATCAAATTGCTGTAATGCATTTCAAGTCACTTTTGCTATTAAATTAAAAACCTATCTACAAATAGATGGAGAACAAAGCAATCACATGGCACAAAATTCATAACTCGTGACATGCAATACTTCATTACTTAACAACTAAAAAAAAAGAGTATATCTTTATGTATTTACTAACTGACCCCATTTGACAGGACTTAAGGCATGGTTTGGTTTGGTTTTATGTATTTACTCCTTTAAAAACACCCCCCCCCCCCCCCCCCCAAAACCCATTCTTCTTTTTTCTTTTTTTTTCATTTTCCCCACAAGATAAGGAATGTTAAGCAACTTAAGCAAGGGCTAGGTATGCACATGTCCATTGTCCAGTACTACCAACTTCACAGAATCAATGGCCACAACACAAGGGCCAAAACTTTGAGTTGGATGGGTTCAGTTCACACTAGTCCAACACAGTATAGACTCATATGTCAACGTTTATTGACAGGGTTTCACACGAATGCTGAAACTATGTAAGAGTGGTTCCATTTGTTCTTTTCAGTTTGTAGTGCATATGGGGGTCCTTAATCTGCTATGGGGTTGCCATAGTCAATTGAAATTTTTGGTGTTCTATGTTCCTTTAGTGACTTACCTAACATCATTTCCACCTAAAGATCATTTCACTGACAATTAACACGGGAGAATGAACAGACCTTATATGTCAATAAACTTTCCCAAGCAGAAATATCACTTTGACTTGGAAGATTCTGCAACACAAACTTGCCAGCGTTCCACAATTTGTTGGTGAATGCCTTATTAGCTGTCAATCTCTCAGTTGATAAATTTAGATCCTGAAAAAAGTGGCATAATTTGGTTATGTACCAGCCACGTGCACAAACAGCAAACCACACACATGTAGTTTCTTTTTAAGAGAATGAAAATGCATAACCATGGTGCAAAAGTTTAGGAATTATTTGAGACAAGACAAACCTGACCAGAAGTTCCTAAAGCAAGTGTGAATCGCAAAGCATCAGTGCCATACTCCTTGATTGTATCAATTGGATCTATGACATTTCCTAATGTTTTAGACATTTTCTGCCCCTGAGACAATTTGTTACATAACTAGTTGAAACATGTACAAGTGTAAAGGAACAAGGAGCAAAGCAACTGTATCTGGTCGTTATAACATCAAATGAAAGTTGAACGCAGTTCTAAAAGTAGAAAACCATAAAGTCTGTTCCTGTACCTAATATTCTTCGATTGATGTGATATACTAGATATTATTGGAGTTCAGTATACAAGTACCCAAACTTATTTTATGGGTGCTCTTTTATCAATACAGGAACATAAATAAGGAGACTTTTAAGTTCATTTCAGAACAAAATCCAAGCTTCATATTATTTACTACAGCAGAGCATAAACTATATTTAGTATTTCAGTACATTTAAACTATTCATAGTAAACTACACGGACACCTTGGCTCCATGGAACATTAGCTTGTGGAATGGAATGGAGAAGCTTAAAGTTATTCTTCTATGGGATTCTAACAAGTTCTTCATCAGTTTGGAAAACAACAGTGCCTTTTCATTAAAAATTAATCAAAGATTTTGCTACAAGATGACATGTGCAAAGTGAAAAGGTAATAGCAATACTATTATGGGAAAGAAGAGCAGAAAAGATAAAGACAAAAAGGAACATAGGGAGTGACAAATGTTAAAGCAACTCAGCCATGATTCAACATTCAAAACCTGAACCTGTGAATGGATGAGCCCAAACAAGTCACACAGAAAGACATACAATCCTCTTCACAGCCCTTTCTGATGCTAAAACTTCACATATCCTCACAGATTAAAAGAACCAAGCAAAAAAAAGAAAGCAGGCCATGATAATTTCCACTCAAACAAGAACCTCCATGATCCAATAATAGTGGAACAAGATGTAATTGTGCATTGCATTATACATAATGGTGCATTATGTATTTCTTACAGATAATATCCAATTTACTTTCAACAAAATTGAAAATACACATTTATGCAAATTGCTAGAAGAATAAAGATGAGCATATATATCAAACAGGTTTTTCATTGAAAGGCTACGATGATTGTCAACATAAGGAAGGTTGAAAAAAAAAAAAAAAAGACAGTGAAGACAGATAACATATAATGCCCTCACCTAAGAAGCATGGACACGGACACGTGACACGACACGAATACGACACGGACACGCCGACACGTTAATTTTAAAAAAATGCAGGACACGACACGTGGAGGACACGCATGAAATATATAATTTTATATATTTATTATATGTTATATATATGAATATATCATTCAAAGATAATAAAAAATGCAATATAGCACTATTTCCTATAAATTTATATGATTTTTGTTTTATTATTGTATCTTAAGTTGTTTTGTTCAAACTTATAATTAGTTTTACATATCTATAATCAATAGACACATGTGTTTAAACAATTGACACGTGTGTTCTCCAAGTGTCCAAAGAGTGTCCGGGTCTTTAAAAATATTTAAAAAATAGGACACGTTTTGAAGAGTATCGGACACGTGTCCTAAGAGTGTCCAAAGAGTGTCGGTGTCCGACACGGACACGACACGGATACGTCACCTTCTTAGAAGTGTCCGTGCTTCTTAGGCCCTCACAATTGGTCATCGGTGAGTATGACTGACAACTGTTTTCTTTTTCTTTTTTTATATATTAAAAAAACCACTTTTTGTTAACTCAATCTAATAGCATTATGGAACCATTAGCCTTACTCCAGCATTCTACTCACTTGTGCATCTCGGATAAGCCCATGCAGATAAACATTTGAAAAAGGAACAGTCCCAGTGAACTCAATCCCCATCATCACCATGCGTGCCACCCAAAAGAACAATATGTCATGCCTGTCCAAACATGGCAATCAACATTAGTCTTGAGGCAACAAGTACGTAAAGTTACTGTTCAAACATGGCAGTTGGCATCGTCCTTCAGGACAAATAACTGCATAACGTTTGATAATTCACCCCTAAAAAGTGGAAATTTAATAATATAATCACAAACAAAACTCAGTGTATGTTCCATTGCACTAAAGCTCCTCATATGTAACGAAGAATGGGCACTTAGAATCAAAGTCAGTAGCATTTTTCTAAACCAGGGTCAAGAAGCAAGGTTATACACCAAATTCCTGATGTGCTAAAGTTACCAACCTCAGTCACGAACTAACAAAAAATCTGTATAAAGTTATGAAACAAAGCACTTCATTTACTTTCTAGGGTGGACTGACAGGCTTTTCTAAGCAAAATTCAGGTTGTGCTCACTCAAACAATTTACAGCATACAACATTGAAACATATAAAGTTGCACACAACCTGAAACACTTGATGACTGTTTTTCTCTTTCTTATTGCACACTTAGGGGTTGTTTGGGGTGTTCAGGTTGAAAATATGAATGTTTGGGTTAACTTTTTGACTTTTTATGGAAAAGTGTGTATTAAAAAATTGCATAAATTAATGTGTAGTTGTATAAATTAATGTATAGGGAAAAATTAGTATTGGGAGTTGTGCAGCCGTAATTGTTGAATTTTGGTGAATAGTGATAACTTTTTAACTTTTTGAGTAACTTTTTGGCTTTTTAACTTTTTTGAGACTCCCCAAACTTTTTCTCGAGACATCACTTTATTTTTAACAGAAATTAAAGTCAATACAGGTAAATATTACAACCAAAAGGAGATATACTTCTTTTTGTTTTTTGCTTGGCAGGCCTTCAGAGTTAGGTAATAAGACATCGGCTATTATTTACAACATTGTAATAATGTTTCAATGTAAAACTATTTTACATTGTATATGACTATTATATACAATACTCCCAACATTGTAATAAGGGCACACTAGAACAAAACTAGTTTATCTGTACAATGAAAAGAGTTTGAACATAATTATCCCAACCTAATTCTTACTTGTTTCTTGCGATTCCAACATTGCTTAATATCCATCCTATTTTTCAAATGCATCACCAAAGTCATCTCTAACACATTTTAATGTTCAAAAAATAAATTTTCTTGTGTACAAATGTCTGTCACCTGAAAAGCAAGATGGATGAGAAGATGCGTGCTTGCCAATAGTCTTCTATTGGGGCATTAAATTTTGAGTTGCAGCATATCCTAACGCTGTGTTTGATTGAGCGATTTGGGAAGGGATTTGGAAAGGGAAAGGGAAAGGGAAAAGATGTGTGAAACTAGGTGAAATGTAGGCATATTTTATTCACATTTCACCTCCATTTTCACTTTCCCTTTCAAAATCCCTTCCCAAATCTCCTTCCAAATCCCCTAACCAAACACAGCATAAAGGTTCCATCACTAAGAAATGGTAGCTCAATTTACTTCAGAAGAACTCAGACCTTGAGTTTGGGCCAAATTTTTTGCATTACACTATATTGAAGCTACAAGCAGCATTAAAGAAAAACCAAAAGCAAGGAACTCACACTAAAGAATTTAGGAAAAGAGGTACATACCCAGTTTCCAGTACTGTGGTTGGATAGAAGTGCCTAAAATCCTCTGCTGAAATATCTGGCCATCCCAGAGTACTGAAGGGCCATAAAGCACTACAGACAGAAGCAAACAAGATGGGCTCAGTCAAGATGTTCAGCAGTTATATACATAGACATACACACACACACAAATATATATACATATATATACATGAATAATATAAATATGTTCACACATAGAGTTACTGTTCACGTGCAACACTACAGAATCTTTAAGTGAGCCTTGCATGCAACCGACACGCAAAAGTTTGAGAAGTCTAAATGAATTTTAGGCAAATAATGAGGAAAATAATTTGTGTCCACTTATACAACTCCAGGACTCATTAGAAAAAGTAGTACAACTCAACATCAATAAATTTTTACATCAACAATATGCAGGCTACATCTAAACTAATGGTCAAAATATTGCCAATATTTAGGGCATTATGTACAATCAGGCATTTTGCTGCAATATCTTCAAAATTTAATCAAAAAAAGATTCTCTCTCTCTCTCTTCTTTTTCCTTCAATAGCCCTTTTTTGTGTGTGCATGCAACTTATGTGTGTCCACATGTGTTTATAAGTTCGTGTTGATAACTAAAGAAAAATATACATGGCTAGAGATGGCCTCTATAAGGCACTTTCAGAGTTATAAATGTAAGAATTTCAATGGCACTCTTAAGAAAACTTTCAGCTCCTCAAATGAAACATGAACAGAAAATTACAAACCAGTAATTCATATGGATTCTATTCAAGTTGAAAATTACTGCCAGCACTAAATTTTGAGAACTGGCTCTGCAAATTACTGGCAAACTGAAATTTAAGAACTTGAATAAGATGTCTTTAAGGAAACCTAAAACTACATTCATAGTATTACCAATGCAAATTAATATTAAAAAGTTTGCTCAAACTATGAACTAATCCATTCAGATGGTAGATGAAAAGAAAGTATCAGTCATCCCATCCATGAGAGGAAAATTAAATTACCAACTGGTAAATGTAAGAAACCTTCGTTATTAGGAATGTAATACTAGCTAATAAAGCATGTAAATAGGCTTATGGGGCTTGTATTTTGTCAACCTTGAGAACCAAGTGTCAAGAACATCAGGATCCTGATATATTGCAACATTTCCATACTTCTCACGAGCTTTGTCAAGAGCCTCTTCAGCACTCCTAGCAACAATATATTCTTCTTCACAGTCTTTTCCCTCAATGTACCAAACTGGTATACGGTGCCCCCACCATAATTGTCTGCTTATACACCAATCTTTGATATTTGACAGCCAATGATTATATACCTACAGTCAAAAAAACCAAAATAGAAACGTGAGCTAAAGCAGGCAGAGGATGGTAGCATTGAAAGTGAAGAAGCAGCTCAATGCAAATACGATACGATTTAGGTAGGAGAAACAACTAAAGGTAGACAGGAACGATGATAATCCATGTCATGGAAATTATTATGTTAATATATCCAGCCTCCAGGTGACAAAAATTCAAAAGATAATTTATGTGCTCTAGTGAAGAATGAAAAGAAACTCAAAACATGGTCAACATGAAGCCAAAGAAGAATATATATATTTTTTGATTAGTATGAAGCCAAAGGAAAATATAAATTACTGTTATATGTTTCATACCTTCTCAAATCTTTCTGGCATAATAGTTAATTCTCCTGTCTCGACAGCTTTAAGAGCTTTCTCAGCTAAGGGCTCCATGGTGACAAACCATTGCTTACTCACTAGTGGCTCTATTATCTAATGAGAGGAAAATTAAGTATGAGAACAACCCTAGGTAAAGTACACATCTATTCTACCAAGCTTATTTTCTTAAATTCAAAAGACCAATTTATTTACATATATATATATATATATATATTTGGTGCATCGGAAAGGAAACCAAAACAAAGACAAATATAGATAGCTATAAAAACACACTTCTCCACCACGTTGTGATCTGGGAACTCGTAGTGTGTGAGGTTCTTTTTTGACAGCTAAGCCTGTCTCCTCAAGATCTGCCCACAGCTTTTTCCGTGCCTCAAAGCGATCAAGGCCACTGATTTTACAAAGTCCAATGGCCATAAATTAGGTAGAATACAAAAACTTTCTCAAATCGATGTCTCAATGACCTAATAATATCATGCCACAACATTACCAGTACAATCCAGCAACATCATTAAGTGTGCCATCCTTGTTCATCACATTAAGTATGGGAAGACCAAGCTTCCGAGCCAGAAGATAGTCATTATGATCATGCCCAGGGCTTATCTTCAAGACACCGGTTCCAAAATCTTTATCAACATACTGTGTGACATTAGCAACAAAGGACATTAGGAAATCACATTATTTACCAGAATGAGTTGGAATGGCTTTAAGGGAAAAAAACAGAGAAAGAAACCACAAAATAAATGAAAGCATAAAGAAAGAAAAAATAGAGAAGTGCATTGAGTAATGACAACTTCAGTAAATTACAATTCATTATTTTGTGAGCAAAAATTGCTCCATTGTAAGATGTTTTCTCCTAGACACAAATGGGAATCAGGAAGTGCCGATTATTTTAAAAGCAGATAGACATATTAACAGTCCCAGGCCAGCACCACATTAGCTCTTGATTACACGAAAAAATAGTAATGTACTGAGAGATTCATCCATTCTCTTTCCTATGTTTCTTTTGATCCAAAACAGGGGTTATGAAATGAAAGCAAGATTTAAGCACAAGACGGGATTTATATCAACTACAGATAATAGAATATGAGTTACATATGAAAACCGACATAGTGCCCGCACTGAGGCTTCCATCTTGAAAACTCAGCTTACAACACTTTTTGTCTTAATTACTTTATCCATCCTGATCATTTTTGGATTATGCTCACCATTGAAATAATTTCAATCAGAAAAAAGCAGCATCGTGTTGATAACTAAAGAAAAATATACATGGCTAGAGATGGCAAGTTGGCTGTTACCTTGTCAGAGATGATAGGGACATGACGACCAAATGTCATCGGCACAATAGCCTGCCTTCCAATATACTTGGAATAACGATCATCCTGCATAGTAGTTATCATTAAAGCAATTTCAGGAAAAAAAAAATTCAAACAAAATCTGTGCTAAATCATACGCAACTACTCAAAACTACAAGAAAAGAGATATGGGAAATAGTAGTGTCAGTCTCATAGATTTTTTGAGGAAAAAAAAGGTCTCCTCAAATAAAGGCATAACGTAAGTAAAGCTGCATCATTTCAAAAATTAGTTTCAAATTCTAGGCATTACTCAATAATTGAATGGCAATCCGAGATATTTATCTCAACTTTTTCATCACCACATCAGCTAGAAACTAAGAAGCATGGACACTTCTATGGTGGAGATTGTTGTGTCTGACACCTGTGTCCAACACAACACTCTTTAGACACTTCTAAAAACGTGTCCGACACTTTTTCAATGTGTCTTAATTGAAAAATCAAATTCATAATATCGGACACTTTATCGATACTTCACAGACTCTTAGACGACACTTCTTAAACCCTCCAAACACATCCTATATGATGAATCCCTTCATTGCAACAATGTTTTGCATTCTTCATAGCACAACTTATGCATTCTAAATATGTTTTGAAATATCTATAAGATGAATACATTATGTCTAATACAATGCTCTATAAATGTTTCGCATTTTTTATAATGTAATTGCTATGTATAGCTTTTTGAAAAATGTGTTATGTTACATATTTTTTTATTATCTTTGAATAAACTATTCATATATATGACATTTAATACAATTATAAAAACATAAAATTTTAACGTGTTCCAAGCTTTGTTAGCATATTATATTAGCCGAAAGTGTTAGCATATTATATTAGCTGAAAGTTACACTAGGGTCTGTAATCATTTTATGCCCTCAGGGATCATCTTGTAATTGTCTTTCTTGTAAACCCTAATCTTCATTTATAAATAGGGGGTGATATTCTATCATACCCTAAGCTGGTTACCCAAGCTTCATGGTATCAGAGCTACACCTCTAGGGTTAGGGTTCGAAACGTACCTAGTTGGATCATCTGCTGGGTCGATCTTCCGTTGCCGTCGTCACTCCGCTTCGTCTTCATTAGCCGGTGGATCATCTGCTTCGTCTTCGTCTTCGTCTTCGTCTCAGCTCCTCAGCTCGTCGATCTCCTCCAGCCGTTCATCGCTCGTCTTCATCGCTCTCGTCGTCCTCAGCTCGTCGCTCGTCTTCGTCGCTCGTCGTCCTCAGCTCCTCTGTCGCCTTCGTCAATCGTCGATCTCTGATATACTGTCACTCTCGTCCACTGTTTGGTATGATATAGCCTCTCTTTTGTATCACACCCTAGTATATATAAATATATATATCCTGATATAGCCTGGTATATATAAATATATATATCACACCGTACCAATACATGTATACATAAATAAATCAATATATATATATATATATAACAAAAAAAAAAAAAAAACACAAAAAAACACAAAAAAAAAAAAATGGTTTCTTAATTTTGTTATGTCTTTATAGTGGTCATTGTGCCTGTTCTCTCACTACCACCTTCCGGGTTTGTGATTGCCACTAGTTTTGTTGCAGGTTCGGTAGTATTGTATCCATGACAGATTCCACAAGTGTGTCCCCTTCTTCTCAAACACCGAGGAGTGAGAGTCCCATTCTACCTACTACCATGACTGAGAACCCCAACCCTAGTTTGAAAATCACCACCTTTCTATTTAATGGTCAGAACTACCTAGCATGGTCTCAAAGTTTGACTATGTTTTTGAAGAGCAGAGGGAAGATGGGGTATGTTGATGGCAGGATATAGGCACCTAGTACCACTGACTCAGGTTATGATCAATGGGAGATTACCAACTCTTTGATTATAAGTTGGCTTATCCATTCGATGGTTCCAGAACTTGGTGAGGGCTACTTGTCTATGGAGACTGCCCAGGACGTTTGGGAGGCTGTGGCTGTTACCTATTCCCGCAAAGGAAATTTTTCACAAGCATTTGAGTTGCGCCGATCTATTGAGAGCTCACTTCAGGGGGAGCAGACTGTTCTTCAGTACTTCACTTTCCTCACCAACGGCTGGAAACGCCTTGACCACCTGGAAGACTATAAGCCCGTTTGCCCTACTGATTCTGTCGGGTACAAGAAGTTCATTGCTCGGGAACGGGTCTTTAAATTTTTGGCCGGCCTAAATGTGGAGTATGATCCAGTTAGGGGTCGAGTTCTGAGTATGGACACTCTTCCTTCACTTCAAGAGGCATTTGCCTATGTACAGAATGAGGAGGGTCGCCGGTCTGCTATGATGTCCCCTGTCTCTACTGACCGTTCCGCATTACTGCCTACTCCTCGAGATGGCCTCAGCCTGCCTCCCATTCCTTCGTCTACTGCTAAGGAGTCTGTATTCTGTGATTATTGCAAGAAGCCGCGACATACTCGTGAAACGTGTTGGAAGCTTCATGAGACTCCATCCGGGGGTCGCGGTGATCGGTCTGGTTCTCGAGGAGGTCGGTCAGGCCAATCTAGAGGACGTGGTTCCTATTCCTGGGCTCATCAGTCTAGTGCCATTGATACCCTTGATTCTAATTCTACTTCTGTTGGCCAAGCTTCTGATACTGAGCTAGAGGATGCTTTGCGCCAATTGTTGGACCGCCGATCTTCTACTGCTCTCAGTACAGCTTCCTCGTCCTTTGCCCGCTCAGGTAACTTAGCATCTTCTCCTTGTGCTTTCCTGTGTCATAAATCTTTGCCTTGGATTATTGATTCTGGTGCCTCAGATCATATGTCTGGCTCCTCTGATCTTTTCTCTGTCTATAAGCCCTCTTCAGGTCAGGACAAAGTTAGGATTGCCGATGGTACTGTTTCTTCCATTTCTGGAAAAGGTTTAGTCCAAGTCACTCCTACCATACATCTATCTTCTGTTCTCCATGTTCCCAAGTTTTCTGTTAATCTGTTATCCTTAAGTCGTCTTACCCAGGATTTGAATTGTTGTGTGACGTTTTTTCCTGATCATTGTCTTTTTCAGGACCTTGTCACGGGGAGGACGATTGGCAGTGGTAGTGCAGAAAATGGTCTCTACTTCCTAGATCAACCGGACAAACTTGCACTTAGGGATCATCTTGTAATTGTCTACCTTGTAAACCCTAATCTTTATTTATAAATAAGGGATGATATCTC